AATTGACTCATTTGTAGGAAGGACATTCGGAAAAGATTCCAGTTCGGTGAGTTGGGGTTCACAGGGGCATTGACTTTGAGTGGATGGATGTGAAACGCAGGCAGAAATTTGTTTTTCAATGCAAATGATTCGACCAAAGTCCACGCAAATCCAGGCTCGGACTCGAAGTCACAATAAACTGTGCGGACCCATCCGTCCGTTCCGTAGTTTTTGATACTATAGTAACCGTTGGTTTTAACACCTCGTTTTAGATAGTCGAGACAACTTTGTGCTGTCACGTTTCTTAGTCGTCGCACGATCCGTGCCGCTTCGTTCGTCTGAAATGTATCAATCAAACCATTTTAGTTAAAGAGTGATTTAAAAATACAATAAAAGACAACACTAAAGAACACTGCACAGAACTATAGGGTATAAGAATCTGCACTGAAATTCGGTCTACAACACACGCAAAAATCTCGCATCTTGTTTTGTCAACAAGCCGTCAACAAATTGTCTTCCCACTGCTTGTCACAAATTGTCAACAAGTTTGGAACAAGCTGTTAACAATTTGTAACCACCTTGTTGATATTATCAGCCTTGTTACAAGGTTGTTTCAACAAGTCCGATGCAGTCATGATATAGCAGTATTGTTACAACCTTGTGTCGTCAACCTAGTCACATTCTTGTTTATCATGACTGTATCAGACTTGTTAGAGCAACCTTGTGACAAGTCTGATAATGCCATCAAGCATGTTAGTAGTCGTCAACAGATTGTTCCAAACAACTGGGAACAAGCAGTGCGAAAACAACTTGTTGACAACTTTTGAACCGACTTGTAACAATTTGTTGCAGACTTGTAACAACTTTCGCGTTTTTTTGGTGTGTATAAGACAGATTTAGAAAAGATGAGGTAAACACGACGACACGGCCTCAATTTCAGCTCCGGATTGAGAGCTAAGAATCTTCATTACTGTAATAAAGCTTTTTTGAATAACCTTAAAGATGTGGACCCCTGCCATCATGGGCCCCTAAAATTAAAACATTGGAAAAAATAAAGAATATAGATTTTAATTTTGAAAATCACGATTAAGATATTACAATTTATAATATGAAAATATAAATTTACGAAAATATTACCCCAAAAATTATGGTGCATTGATTTGGAGGTTAACAAAAAATGGTATGTGTAAAAATTTATTTTACTCCCATCCCCCGCCCCCCTCAAATTATTTGGGGAAAAAAGATTAATTAGCGTCTGCATGCATGTTTCATGTTCGATCAGTAATCCACTCATGCACCGAATCTGGATCTATCCGTCATTGGGGCTGGGCCCCGTCCGATGATGCTCATTCGTCGTCCTTTTCAAGACCCCATGGAGCACGTCCTTTTACCATGTCCTAAGTTTAGCATGCATGACAAGATTATACAAGGTTAGTACATGTTTTTGAATATCGGTAAATTTAAGCAATTTAATGAGGTGATCAAATGGTATTTAAATTTACCGCGCAATCTTATAACGATGGTTAGACCTGACAGTATATAAGCAGTAATTACCCCAAAATGGTACGATGTTGTCAGGAGCACTCACTGCTGAATTAAGTATGGTTATGTATAGACATGATTTGCTCTTAAAAAATTAAATCGTATTCTGTAAACTTGTTAATATTTTATTAAAAACAGAATTGTGTGTGCATGTTGCATACATTACATTGCAGTCAACGTCAAAAGTTTCTACATCTGAATCTTGCTAAGCAACGCCATGCAACTTTTATTTGATTTTACGATTCGTGCAATCTGATTGGCTAAAAATAGTGCGATTACAGCCCAAACCAGACACAGTACTAAGGTGCGGTGCCCACATGTGCAAGTAAAGTTATATTTAGCACGCTACATAGCCTACATTCTCCTGTCGGCCGCCAGTTGGTCCGTATACGTTAGGATCAAAACTGCGTTTTAAAGCCTTCAAAATCAGCAAAATTTTTTGGGCTCAAAATACTATCAAAATGAAGAGAAAAGTGAGACGAATACACTGGTAGAAGGCCGAAAAGAGAAAGTCAACGATACCAAAGTTAGGAAGGATCAAATGGACGGCATTTTTAATTAGTTTAATAATTTTGAGGGATTTGTCACCAATACAATTTCGCTTGATTTTCAAAGGCTATAAATCTCTAGAATACTGTTGTTTAGTATAATACATCTGACACCCATAAGTACAATTTCTTACGCTGAATCGAACGGTGGTATTTTTGTCCTTATTGGGCGCACAAACCAGAGATAAGGCAGAATCCGAGATTAATTGGAAAGAAAACTTTCCTCGAAAAAAGGAATTCAGAAAACATGAAAGGATTATTTTGAGCGGCTTGTCTTTTTAAAAGCCACGAATCGCTCGAATTGAAACCAATTTTGAAATCAATTTCCATCCATAAATACAAAGGTTTACGCTGACTCGAACAGTGGTATTTTTGCCCTTGTTTGGCGCACAAGACCAGAGATAAAGGCATAAAGCCCAGCAAACAGTCGGTCCTGAGAGTCCAAGATCAATTAATTCCCCGCAAAAATGAATAAATTTCGAGCACGTGTAAGGAATTTTTACTGGGCGATTAAGGAAATTAACAAACGGACAAACTAACAAACGGACAAACAAACTCACAGGCCGGCAGGATATAATGCGGTGCCAAACTTCTGCACCGCAATCGCGCGCACTGCTTTAAGCCCTGATTCCACGAGCGCTTTTTGTCAGCGAAATGCGAAATATTTCGCCGTTTCTTTTGAATTGCGACCACTCGAATAAATTATTTCTACTTGATTGCTCATTATTCAAAAGAAACAGGCGAAATATTTCAGTGCCTTTTTTAAGGCATTTTCACTGGGGGCGGGAGGGGGCAAAACATGAAAAAAGGCAGAACGAAAAATATGAGCCGTCGAGGTTTGGCGAACGCGCGACTGGCGCGAGTCTGAAGAGAGATTTTGTGAAACTTTAATTTATTAACTTCAGCTATATTTTACATTAAACAATAACTTCAAATATTTGTAGCTATAATCGTAGAATTAATTAACTCGGAATTAAATAAATTGGTAAAGTCACCTTGAAAAATAGGAGGAGGTGTCAGTGTCAACCTATTTCCTCTCTGTGATGCTGGCGGGAGATCCCAATGTGATTTTGATCAGAAATGTTGCAATTAAATCATTTTAGGTTCTATGAAACACCATTTCCGCATTCTCAAAATTCCGTTGCTTTTTCATGCGATACAGAGTAAGTCTGAGAAGAAATATTCATGCTATGATGCATACATGTATTTAACAGTTAAATATCTAAACTAAATTTATTCTTCTTGGAACCATATCTACAACTGCTTTAACGAGATTTCACAAATCAAGTTCCTCCAGTATATCGTCTTTTTCCTCAGTCGAGACGTGTTTAATCAGTTTCAGCTTCCAGCATCTAACCTGTACCCCCTCCCCCCCCCCCCCCACCCACCAAATTCTCTACGTATTTAGCCTTTCGAGAGAATGGTTGGGGGGGGGGGGGGGAGGTCTCTTAATATAACTTGATATTTTTAAGAAAAAAATTTTGCAATAAAACCTCCCAAAACAAAACACAACGCTTCTGCGGAGGAGAGTGCTAGGAAATAGTCGCAAGGCTTGGAAAGGCTAGCATTTTCTCGGATTGTTTGCATGAAATGTATCGCTATTATGACATGCTCGGTGAAGAACAATATGAATTACACTCAAGATGGCTGTGGAGTAGGCTACGGAAGGGCATAATCTCATTATCAAGTAAATCAACTGCAATTCTAACAGCAATCATGAGAAATTCTGCTTCGCACTTCGGGGGCAGAAATGACTTTACTCGGAGGGCAATTTTTTTCCGTGGGGGGGGGGGATAATTGCCGTCCCAGACATATAGTTCAAAAAAGCACTGAAATATTTCGCATTTCTCTGACAAAAAGCGCTCGTGGAATCAAGGCTTTAGAGCTATAATCCAATTACTTTGAGCTTTGCTCGCATCAACATGAGTTGTCATTATAGCATCATTTTAAAACCAATCGTGTTGAAGTGGTGACCGGTAGCCAGCCAATCATCGGAAAGTGCAGAATTCATTTAGCCAGAACAGGTGGGAAATTTGTCGTCGCTGACCAAAAAATCGCGGGCAGAAACGAAGCTCATTGCATTTACATTCAAAACAAAGCAGAAAGTTAGCAAGAAGCTGGTTTAGCTGACGATTTTTTGCTTTCCATTCAACGATTTACGAATTAACGGTTATTCTTTTAAAAGTCGACTATGAATTCTTTGTTTTGGGATAATTTGTTTTGTAATCGAATGATTGGAAGAAGTTAATATGGCGACGTGAACATGGGAGTAAATACCGTATACGTCGATCTGTGGCTTGTTTAAAACCGTAATAAACGAAGAAAGACGTGATATGAGAATGAAATGTAAGTTGAAATTAACTTTATATGCCTCTAATTGTCCATCCTATGTTTCTTAATGTAACTTCAGCTGTCTAAGTTCAAAATACAAGCTCGCGAAATTTGACAAATTTTGAAATATGTAAAGATAGCTTGACTTTGAACTGTATTTTCTCAAAAATAGCCCGTGGCCTCAATTTCAAATATAGCTACATGAAAAGAAAAAACTTTTCGGCGTTTGTAGGTATCAAACATATCGTCAGGAAAATAGGGGCTCACAATGTTTTAGCTGAGTCTTTGAGACCCAGTTGCTTCGCACGTGTTGTGGTCAAATTTTTGCCACGAATCAAAGGCCGAAATGTGAACTTCCTTCGTGAAAACCGCTTCGAGAAGGGTCTAGCTTGAAAATTTAGCTATTAAATTCGACTTCATGAGCATATTTTGGTTACACGTTAAATATTTTTGTACTTCATGAGATTCAAAATTTGTTGTATATTCAAGCTCGGCTTTAGTGTAATTTTGGTGATGACCGGAACAGAAATAAAAATATTTTAAAAACTGGCCGTGGCCTCACGATAAAACTCTCTGAAAATGTTCTCTGTTTCATGTATTTTTATTTGATATCTTAGGTATAAGCGTAAAAATAGGGGCTCATACAGTTTACGAGGTTGTAAAATGCATGACTTGCCTCTATTTTCATGTAAACATTCGAAATTTTTCGACAGCAAAGTAGCAACTGTTTCAGATCGAATGCACACGGACAGCCCACCAGAGACAATGCCAGGGTACGTACTGAAATAGAACATCACTAAAAAATTCTGTATGATTAATTTAGATCATGTCCATTTTCAACATAAAACAGTCATTTACTTTGTACAAACATTTGGCAATGTTTATACGATTGTGCCTTTTTGTAAACACGCGTTGCGTGTATTGCGTGCAATTGCGTGACTCATTTTGCTCGCGCATGCTCAGACAAATTTCCCACCTGTTTTTAGCCAGTCAATTTTAAGAAAAATGTTATCCGGTAAATTGAGCAAAATAAACAAATCAGAGTATTGCCATCTTGGCCAATTTTTACAGGTATAGTGGGAACAAAATCGTTGTGAAAGAATGGCGAATTAAAATACCAACAAAAAGTAACTTAATAAAGCTACAGGCAAATAAACTAAACAAGGTAATTCGTAAATGGTATAATTTGTTGATATTTGAATGAACAAACCGCATCAAAACCCTATCAAATTGCTAAAAAACCTATAGTATGTTTAAAGAAAGTTCAACTTATTCGCTTGTTGCTACGCAACGGCATTTAGGCAAGTATTAGGAAGGCGTCTTTGTAAAAAAAGAACTGTTTCCGTTTTACACAATTATTTAAAAGTAAGATTTCAAAATGATAATAAAGTGGAAATTGCACTTCGTGTCGTGCAATTTTGGTCTGAAATCAAACTTGTGATTACAATTCGCACTCCCGCGCGCTTCGCGGTCAATTAATCCAGACCAAATTGCACTCCACTCAGTGCAATTACCATTATAGATATATTTAAACAGATATGTGTTACACCTTGTGCAGGTGACTTTCCTAAGACATTGATATTGGGTAGTTGGGCAGAAATACAATACGCACTAACGGTGAACGACCAGATTTACATGCAGTATGAATATATAGATAATGAGATAATTATATATATTGCTATTCCAATGAGTTTCCAAACCATCTATTCTATTAATTATATGGTTCATGTAATTGCATTATTATCGGCCGCTATTTTACGCTGTGTGCATGAATTTCAACTAAGCCTAAGGGCGCTTTCCATTAACACGACCAGACCGGTCAGGAAGGTCAAATTGTTGAACAGAACACAAAACATTTGGGCTGCGGACTATCTGACCGGAATATTTACATAACATTAGAATGAGGTTCATTTTCGCTAGATATTTGGGAAACATAGACCAGATGTTCCCTTTGATACAGAGAAAAGAATTCGGGTCTGTCGGGTCAGGTCATTAAATGGAAAGCTATCCAACTTTACCCCTACCTGTCGTAATGCATTGTCTTATTTATTTCCGTGACAATAAGTTATGTCTTGAAAAAACGCGAATTGCGTTGCATGTAAAATTATCGGATCTGTCGTTAAGCATAATGCAAAAAATGACTATTCTTTTCATGTGTACCAACAGTTAAAGAATTTTTTTCTGTGTGGGTGTTGTGTACTCAGGTGTGAATATGATGTTTGTGATGTTACTCTGAGTGTATATCCACACCGGGCGGGTTTGAAAAATATGCCCGGCCACGGTAGGAATCGAACCTACGACCTTTGGAATACCAGCCCAATGCTCTGCCAACTGAGCTACGCGGTCAGGACGATTCGACTAAGTGATATTTCGGAACAGAATCTAGTTCCTTCGATAGTATAATCTAGGTCCTTCGATATTCGGAACAGAATCTAGTTCCTTCGATAGTATTGGCTAGTATTCCAAAGGTCGAAGATTTGATTCCTACCGTTGCCGGGCATATTTTTCAAGCCCGCCAGGTGTGGATATCATGACTCAGAGTATCATCACAAACATCATATAGTTAAAGAATTTGCTCATAAAAAGATAGCCAACTCATAATTCTTCAGATAATTAATTTTTTGTCTCTACTAGTCCGTGTGTTATGACCTCAAAAATGTGCCTAGAAAACGATTTTCGTTAAGCATGTCTTAGATCTGAAATATTTTCAGTGACATAGCCAAAAGACTTCGCATTAATGTCCTTGTGATTTTATAGAGATATCTCTAGAACTGCATGAGGATTTTAGACAGCGTTATTTGTACTTTCTCAAAGTTGTAGACAAGATATGTTGTTTACGTCGAACACGCATAAGATTGCATAACTCAAAATGATTCGAGCAAAACCGGTCTTTTGTTAAAAGGAACACTGCTTAATAGAAATTGGTCCTTTTGAGTGACATATTTCGTGAATCGTCATCGATCCGTGTCGTTGAACAATGAAAAATTTGTCGTGTAATTATTATTGAAGATAAAACAGCAATTTGTAAGAAAACTGCGGGTCTACGGAGTGGGAACTTTTCGGATTTGAACTCAGCGTGCTTGAAAGTGTTGGTTCCCGTCAAAATATTTCAGATCTAAGACATGCTTAATGAAAGTGAACGATATCGGGTCACAACACACGGACTATACGATAATACCTTAATATTTTACAGGGCGGCTTAGCCGGAAAAGGCCGAGTTAACTGACCAGTGAGGCTGCACGTTGGCCCCAAGTTTACTGGCACGGTTAGATAATGCAGAGCCCGTGGTAATACACGCCTTGTTGTGAACGATCGCTTTAAAATGAATTACTCTAAAAGTGATCTGTTGTTGTAAAAAACTCAATACGGACTTAAACGTGGTTCAACCAAACGGACATGGTATAAAACTCACTGCTGACATAAGCATGGTTAGATCGTGCATATATTGTATATATTCTTGAATAAAATAGTATTGCACAAGTCTCCCGTATTTATTCTTTTCCAGTGGACTCGTAGCTACTGCTGCATGGCCATGGGGCAGAAACATGAAGTAACTAGTATAGTGAAAACTAAAATTTCTATTAGAACAGCTTACCTGACAAACGACAGTCAAAACAATGAGTAAAGCTTTAAAATTCATGATGCATGAAAAGAATCTGAAAAAGCGCAATATTAGATAATATAAGAAGTATTAATGGTAGTTAAAAGGTATTGCACAAACTGAACAACCGAGATTAGAATTTACCTGAATTTATGTCTAAAGTAGCTAGTCTGCCACGTTGTTGATTGTACAGTTGTGACTTGCAGCGAACAGGAGCTCATATGAGGACCACTTCCTTCAGCACTTGTCTTTATGTGGTACACCAAGAGACTCACGGTATAGACAATGAATGAATAACGCGTGGACGAACGTGTGTGGCTGATGCTAAGATATCAAAACATCTAGACATTCTTGAAAAGTAACCAATCACAATCGTTAATAGCTGACCACGTGACCAGCTCATTGTTATTACTTCGCGGTACACAGGCGTCCCAAAAAACCCGCAAAACCATTGAAATACCATACTGTTAAAATTTGAATGCCCTATAGCACTAAGCTTAACGCAAAGATGCGTAAAATATTGACAAGGGCATGCATATATTAAGTATTGACTTATTAAGAAATTAAAATATCTTTGTCAAGCGCACGATTTTCTACTCTTGGGAATTTAAAACAGCTTCTTAAACGGTTTTTTTTATGAATAAAATTTACTTAACCTCAAGCTTTGATGCACGTGTGGGTTCAGCAGAGAGAACCCATGACACACAACATTTTACTCACGAATCACGACCTTTAATTTAGCCCACAACACACGACATGAAGGACACTCCTTGGAAGGCAATAGTAAGGAGGCCCAAAGCTTGTGATAAATAAATGCAACGGTCAGAGAACATGTCCATATATAATTATGTTAATTACGGTGGCTCCCTACAATTTTCTAAAATTTTAAGTATTTTAGGTAACCTTCGTTTTCAACCAAATTTTAAATGAACACACTTAAGACAAGACAATATAATCATTTCCAGGAGCGTTCAGAAGTCTTCTGCTGTCCATATATGAACAAATAGGAACAGTGTTAGTGTTTACATGGCAACCATATCCATGATGTTTCATCTTTTGCACTTTTATTGTCTAATTTTACAATCAAACGGCAATATCTTTTTTTTCTTCAGTCAATTTTTCTGAATTTTTTTTTAAATTTATGGTTGAAAGAGAAATGACTTATTAAAATTTGAAGGGATGTTTATATGACAGGTTATGACATATTCATGAATATCAATATAACGACAGCAAAAAAACTGTCTTCCCACCGGGCACACGACGTTGTTTCAACGTTGAAATTTGGTTAGAAAAAAGGTTGCGACGTCGACAACCTAATATCTACGTTGCTCTGACGTTGTTTTACAAACATTGGTTCAACAGCAGCCAACAGACGTTGAATTAACTTCCATTCATGGTTAAATGTACGACGTCGATTTGTGAACCAATGGATTCAACGTTGAATTATGGTTGACGAGATTGGCAACCTAATTTCAACGTTGTATCAACGTCGTAACAGTAACGACGATCAAATTTGCATAGTCAACCCTTTATCCAACGTCTGGGAGGTCATTTGGATAAACGTCATTTTGCCCGCTGGGTTATAGAATTTCTTGAAATTTTGATATGTTTGGCGAATCGTCATGCTTAGCAAACTTGCAAAGTTTAAACAATTTTCACCCAAGGAAACGAGAGAAAAATAGTCCTAAATCCAGTTGAAGCTGATGACGTGACAACATATCGAATCGACATGATCACTATTTGCGCATGCGTGTAAAATATAATGTGTGTGGAACACGAAACGCGTACGCTTTATAGTTGGCTTTTTTAGCAATTTTCACTTGGAGTTTTTGGCTTATATGTACCACACAGATATTTTTTACTTATTTGAAATGAAAGTAAAAGATATATATATGTGTTCAAAATACGAAAATTTGAGAACACAATAACGCACTGACTTAATCTGACGTTTCTTAAATTTAGTTTTGTTGCGAAAATCGGTGTGAAAACTTTTCAAGACATTCAAGTAGAGTTTGATTTTTCGTATAAAACAACTCGTAACTGTCTGAATTATAGTTTTATTAGATTCAGCAGATAAAAAACGACATGCGAACTGAGTGGAATGACAGGGCTTACGTAAGATTCAGTGACAGTTCACGAGGGCCTTGAAGACTGTATAAAATATCATTTCCGTCCGCGACACTGTCAGTGTTGAACATTGTGAGCATTATGAAATACAGTACTGAACGTATTAAATATATAAGAAAACACACTGAAGGTAGGTAAAAACCAGCTAAAAACATACGTATTGTTCAACTTTCCGCGACTTGTTTCAAGATTTTTACCGGGTCACGAAGACTCCACGCGCTAGTCGCGAGCATGACGTCAGAGCTGTATAAATGTTTTAAACTGGACTATAACTGTAGGTAGCCACCTTAAATATGTGCTTGGACTGGCAACAGATACCGCGATTGCTTTTTAAGGCGATGCTACCCACTGAAGTAAATTCACGCGAAATTTAATTGATTCCGGAACCCGTTATGTTGCGAATCGTTGTTGCAAATTAACAGTTTGTGGGCTTATGCATGGACTTTAATAAATTAAATTTCGTGTTAAACTTTGGTAAATAAAGACAGAAAAACAGACAAAGAAATGCAACCAAAATTATTATCTCAAAGCTTTTGTTTACACTTAGCATTAACTTTACAAATAAAATGTTCGTTTACAATAATATCGATAGTTAACCATTTAATACTATACGAATCAACGTGCAAATCTTAGGAAATAAGAATATAACTATAGTATAAATGAACATCGTTAGTTATTAAATTTATAATTATACGTTAACATACAAGTCGTATGGTAGCACAAACAATATAAGTCATGCAATGCAACAAGTGTTTAGGAATAACCACCGAACCAATAGTTCGTTGTGGCATCCGGCGATGTGGTACAACGAAATTTCTTATTTGTTGCCCAGTAATGACCGAAGCTATCCTCAGTGAATACAGCATCTTTCCCTGGCTTGAACTGACAAGTTGTCGAAGCAGGACCGTCGATATGAAGTGCCCATTGGTTGAGCTTTGCAAACCAACCTACCGTACATTGTGTACACTGTTGACCGCGGATATTGATGTACTCCATCTTTTTACATACTTTAACACCCACAAAATCTAATACGTCAAACTCCTTGAAGCTTGCCCTGGCATAATCTCGGTAAATATCAACAGAGTTTGTTTGGAAAGAGCAAGTGACTTCCCAGTGAGTTGACTGCGCTCTTAATCGACTCATTTGTAGGAAAGACATTCGGAAAAGATTCCAGTTCGGAGAGTTGGGGTTCACAGGGGCATTGACTTTGAGTGGATGGTTGTAAAACGCAGGCAGAAATTTGTTTTTCAATGCAAATGATTCGACCAAAGTCCACGCAAATCCTGGCTCGGTCTCGAAGTCACAATAAACTGTGTGGACCCATCCGTCCGTTCCGTAGTTTTTGATACTATAGTAACCGTTGGTTTTAACACCTCGTTTTAGATAGTCGAGACAACTTTGTGCTGTCACGTTTCTGAGTCGTCGCACGATCTGTGCCGCTTCGTTAGTTTGAAATGTATCAATCAATCCATTTTAGTTAAATAGTGATTTAAAAATACAATAAAAGACAACACGAAAGAACACTGCACAGAACTATAGGGTATAAGAATCTGCACTGAAATTCGGTGGCCGGACTTTTTGTCGAAAGACACTTTGCCGAAAGGCATTTCGCCGAAAGACATTTTGCCGAACGGACGTTTTGCCGAACGGACGTTTTGCCGAACGGATATATTGCCGAATGGACATTTTGCCGAACGGACACAGTTTGAAGAACGGACACTTTGCCGAAAATAGAGATATCTTCTGAACTTTAAATGTTCTCTTACACGGTCAAGGTTTCTGTGATTAAAGTCATTAATTGTCGATTTTGATGACAGAAGCTTTGATAGTGAAGTATAGTTTCGTTTTATATTCTTTCACGTTTTTGACAAGTTTACCGAAAATTCGCGATATAAAGAATAACATCATTCAACATCATTCATGATTGTGATTTCTCCGAGAACTGTGAATGTATTCCATGATTCTCGAAATGAAATTCGCTTACGTCGTCTTTATATACGCTTGTTTGTTTACGATCTGACGTCAAAACACGTTCCTAACAAATGAGTCATCCGCTGCACAAACAAGCTACCAATAATCAATATGGTTATGCACCGCTAACGACCATTGTGCACTGCTAATGAGCCATTTGTGCACTGCTAATGACCATATAATGGTTATTTTACACAATGGTTGAGAATTAGAAGGTTGAGAAATGAGTCACAGTCCCAAACATTTTGCCGAAATAACATCTTTATTTTCGGCAAGTTGTCCGTTCGGCAAAATGTCTGTTCGGCAAAACATCCGTTCGGCAAAATGACCGTCGGCAAAATGTCCGTTCGGCAAAATGTCTTTCAGCAAAGTGTCTTTCGGCAAAGTGTCTTTCGGCAAAATGTCCGGCTACCCTGAAATTCGGTCTACAACACGCGCAAAAATCTCACGTCTTGTTTTGTCAACAAGCCGTCAACAAGTTGTCTTCCACTGCTTCTCACAAGTTGTCAACAAGTTTGGAACAAGCTGTTAACAATTGGTAACAACCTTGTTGATATTATCAGCCTTGTTACAAGGTTGTTTCAACAAGTCCGATGCAGTCATGATATAGCAGTATTGTTACAACCTTGTGTCGTCAACCTAGTCACATTCTTGTTTATCACGACTGTATCAGATTTGTTAGAGCAACCTTGTGACAAGTCTGATAATGCCATCAAGCATGTTACTAGTTGTCAACAGATTGTTCCAAACAACTGGGAACAAGCAGTGCGAAAACAACTTGTTGACAACTTTGAACCGACTTGTAACAATTTGTTGCAGACTTGTAAATACTTTCGAGCTTTTTTGGTGTGTATAAGACAGATTTAGAAAAGATGACGTAAACACGACGACACGGCCTCAATTTAAGCTCAAGATTGAGAGCTAAAAAACTTGATTACTGTAATAAAGCTTTTTTGAATAACCTTGAAGATGTGGACCCCTGCCATCATGGGCCCCTAAAATTAAAACATTGGAAAAAACAAAGATTATAGATTTTAATTTTGAAAATGACGATTAAGATATTACAATTTATAATTTGAAAATATAAATTAACGAAAATATTACCCAAAAAATTATAGTGCATTGATTCGGAGGTTAACAAAAAATAGTATGTCTGAAAATTTATTTTACTCCCCCCCCCCAAATTGTTTGGGGGAAAAAAGATTAATTAGCGTCTGCAATGTTTCATGTTCGATCTGTAATCCACTCATGCACCAGAATCTGGATCTATCCGTCATTGAGGCTGGGCCCCGTCAGATGATGCTCATTCGTCGTCCTTTTCAAGAACCCATGCAGCACGTTCTTGTACCATGTCCTAAGTTTAGCATGCATGACAAGATTATACAAGGTTAGTACATGTTTTTGAATATCGGTAAATTTAAGCCAATTAATTAGGTGATCAAATGGTATTTAAATTTACCGCGCAATCTTATAAGCATGGTTAGACCTGACAGAATATACGCAGTATTTACCCCAAAATGGTATGATGTTCCCATGAGCACTCACTGCTGAATTAAGTATGGTTATGTATAGACATAATTTGCTCTTAAAAAATTAAATCGTATTCTGTAAACTTGTTAATATTTTATTAAACACAGAATTGTGTGTGGATGTTGCATACATTATATTGCAGTCAACGTCAAAAGTATGTGTGGATGTTGCATACATTACATTGCAGTCAACGTCAAATCTTCATTACATTACATTGCAGTCAACGTTCTACATCTGAATCTTGCTAAGCCACGCCATGCAACTTTTATTTGATTTTACGATTCGTGCAATCTGATTGGCTAAAAATAGTGCGATTACAGCCCAAACCAGACACAGTACTAAAGTGCGGTGCCCACATGTGCAAGTAAAGTTATATTTAGCACGCTACATAGCCTACATTCTCCTGTCGGCCGCCAGTTGGTCCGTATACGTTAGGATCAAAACTGCGTTTTAAAGCCTTCAAAATCAGCAAAATTTTTTGGGCTCAAAATACTATCAAAATGAAGAGAAAAGTGAGACGAATACACTGGTAGAAGGCCGAAAAGAGAAAGCCAACGATACCAAGTAAGGAAGGATCAAATAGACTGCATTTTTAATTAGTTTAATAATTTTGAAGGATTTGTCACCAATACAATTTCGCTTGATTTTCAAAGGCCATAAATCTCTAGAATACTGTTGTATAGTATAATACATCTGATACCCATAAGTACAATTTCTTACGCTGAATCGAACGGTGGTATTTTTGTCCTTATTGGGCGCACAAACCAGAGATAAGGCAGAATCCGAGATTAATTGGAAAGAAAACTTTCCTCGAAAAAAGGAATTCAGAAAACATGAAAGGATTATTTTCAGCGGCTTGTCTTTTTAAAAGCCACGAATCGCTCGAATTGAAACCAATTTTGAAATCAATTTCCATCCATAAATACAAAGGTTTACGCTGATTCGAACAGTGGTATTTTTGCCCCAGTTTGGCACACAAAACCAGAGATAAAGGCATAAAGCCCAGCAAACAGTCGGTCCCGAGAGTCCAAGATCAATTAATTCCCCGGATTGTTTGCATGAAATGTATCGCTATTGTGACATACTCGGTGAAGAACAATATGAATTACACTCAAGATGGCTGTGGAGTGGGCTACGGAAGGGCATAATCTCATTATCAAGTAAATCAACGGCAATTCTAACAGCAATCATGAGAAATGCTGCTTCGCACTTCGGGGGCAGAAATGGCTTTACTGGGAGGGCAATTTTTTTCCGTGGGGGGGGGGGATAATTGCCGTCCCAGACATATAGTTCAAAAAAGCACTGAAATATTTCGCATTTCTCTGACAAAAAGCGCTCGTGGAATCAGGGCTTTAGAGCTATAATCCAATTACTTTGAGCTTTGCTCGCATCAACATGAGTTGTCATTATAGCATCATTTTAAAACCAATCGTGTTGAAGTGGTGACCGGTAGCCAGCCAATCAACGGAAAGTGTAGAATTCATTTAGCCAGTCAATTTTAAGAAAAATGTTATCCGGTAAATTGAGCAAAATAAACAAATCAGAGTATTGCCATCTTGGCCAATTTTTTACAGGTATAGTGGGAACAAAATCGTTGTGAAAGAATGGCGAAAATACCAACAAAAAGTAACTTAATAAAGCTACAGGCAAATAAACTAAACAAGGTAATTCGTAAATGGTATAATTTGTTGATATTTGACTATGAACAAACCGCATCAAAACCCTATCAGATTGCTAAAAAACCTATGGTATGTTTAAAGAAAGTTCAACTTATTCGCTTGTTGCTACGCAACGGTATTTAGGCAAGTATCAGGAAGGCGTCTTCGTAAAAAAAGAACTGTTTCCGTTTTACACAATTCTTTAAAAGTGAGATTTCAAAATGATAATAAAGTGGAAATTGCACTTCGTGTCGTGCAATTTTGGTCTGAAATCAAGCCAGACCAAATTGCACTCCACTCAGTGCAATTACCATTATAGATATATTTAAACAGATATGTGTTACACCTTGTGCAGGTGACTTTCCTAAGACATTGATATTGGGTAGTTGGGCAGAAATACAATACGCACGTAATGATATTTCGGAACAGAATCTAGTTCCTTCGATAGTATCATCTAGTTCCTTCGATATTCGGAACAGAATCTAGTTCCTTCGATAGTATTGGCTAGTATTCCAAAGGTCGTAGATTTGATTCCTACCGTGGCCGGGCATATTTTTCAAGCCCCCCCGATGTGGATATCATGACTCAGAGTAACATCACAAACATCATAGTTAAAGATCGAATTTGCTCATAAAAGGATAGCCAACTCATAATTCTTCAGATAATTAATTTTTTGTGTCTACTAGTCCGTGTGTTATGACCTCAAAAATGTGCCTAGAAAACGATTTTCGTTAAGCATGTCTTAGATCTGAAATATTTTCAGTGACATAGCCAAAAGACTTCGCATTAATGTCCTTATGATTTTATAGAGATATCTCTAGAACTGCATGAGGATTTTAGACAGCGTTATTTGTACTTTCTCAAAGTTGTAGACAAGATATGTTGTTTACGTCCAACACGCATAAGATTGCATAACTCAAAATGATTCGAGCAAAACCGGTCTTTTGTTAAAAGGAACACTGCTTAATAGAAATTGGTCCTTTTGAGTGACATATTTCGTGTATCGTCATCGATCCGTGTCGTTGAACAATGAAAAATTTGTCGTGTAATTATTGAAGATAAAACAGCAATTTGTAAGAAAACTGCGGGTCTACGGAGTGGGAACTTTTCGGATTTGAACTCAGCGTGCTTGAAAGTGTTGGTTCCCGTCAAAATATTTCAGATCTAAGACATGCTTAATGAAAGTGAACGATATCGGGTCACAACACACGGACTACACGATAATACCTTATTATTTTACAGGGCGGCATAGCCGGAAAAGGCCGAGTTAACTGACCAGTGAGGCTGCACGTTGGCCCCAAGTTTACTGGCATGGTTAGATAATGCAGAGCCCGTGGTAATACACGCCTTGTTGTGAACGACGGCTTTAAAGTGAATTACTCTAAAAGTGATCTGATGTTGTAAAAAATTCAATACGGACTTAAACGTGGTTCAACCAAACGGACATGGTATAAAACTCACTGCTGACATAAGCATGGTTAGATTGTGCATATATTGTATATCTTCTTGAATAAAATAGTATTGCACAAGTCTCCCGTATTTATTCTTTCCCAGTGGACTCGTAGCTACTGTTGCATGGTCATGGGGCAGAAACATGAAGTAACTAGTATAGTGAAAAGTAAAATTTCTGTTAGAACAGCTTACCTGACAAACGACAGTCAAAACAATGAGTAAAGCTTTAAAATTCATAATGCATGAAAAAGCGCAATATTAGATAATATAAGAAGTATTAATCATAGATTAAGGAATGAATAGATGGCTCACTCCTTTGATGTTTTTGACGCTGCCGGCGCCCACGCATGTTCTTGCCAGAGTAATGGCGGCCTAGCAAGTAACTGTAGTAAAATGCATTGTAAAATTGACATCGGTGCTACTAAATTCTGTATTTTTATAATTCTGATTTATCTTTCCATTAAACCCCCCAAAAGCGGAAAAATACAGGATTTAATAGCACGGATGTCAATTTTACAATGCATTTTACTACAGTTACTTGCTAGGCCGCCATTACTCTGGCAAGAACATGCGTGGGCGCCGGCAGCGTCAAAAACATCAAAGGAGTGAGCCATCTATTCATTCCTTAATCTATGGTATTAATGGTAGTTAAAAGGTATTTCACAAACTGAACAACCGAGATTAGAATTTACCTGAATTTATGTCCAAAAGTAGCTAGTCTGCCACGTTGTTGATTGTACAGTTGTGACTTGCAGCGAACAGGAGCTCATATGAGGACAACTTCCTTCAGCACTTGTCTTTATGTGGTACACCAAGAGACTCACGGTATAGACAATGAATATCGCGTGGACGAACGTGAGTGGCTGTTGCTAAGATACCAAACATCTAGACATTCTTGAAAAGTAACCAATCACAATCGTTAAAAGCTGACCAGGTGACCAGCTCCTTGTTATTACTTCGCGGTATACAGGGTGTCCCAAAAAAACGAAAACTATTGAAATCACCAATAACAATTTAATTGTTAGAATTTGAATGCCTTAGCGCTCTGTTGGTTCCCACGAGTGCATAAATGATTGACATAAGTAAATTTTATGCATAAAGAACTGTTTAAGAAGCTGTTTTTAATTCCCAGGAGCAGAAAATCGCGCACTTTACCAGGAGATATTCATAACTAAATTATAATATACATACATGCACCTTGTCAATATTTTACGCATCATTACGTCCAGCTGTTTGGTAGGGCTTTCAAATTTAACAATAAGTGATTTCAATAGTTTTCGATTTTTTTGGGACACCCTGTACAGGGTGTCCCAAAAAACCATTGAAATAACGTATTGTTAAAATTTGAATGCCCTAGCACTAAGCTGAACGCAAAGATGCGTAAATATTGACAAGGGTGCATATATTAAATATTGACTTATTAAGAAATTAAAATATCTTTGTCAAGCGCACGATTTTCTGCTCTTGGGAATTTAAAACAGCTTCTTAAACGGTTTCTTTACGAATAAAATTTACTTAACGTCAAGCTTTGATGCACGTGTGGGTTCAGCAGAGTGCTGAGGCATTCAAATGCTAACAATACGCGTTATTTCAATAGTTTTCGGGTTGTTTTGGACACCCTGTGGATCAATTCAAAGTTGAACTTACCGCCTATTTACACCGGTCTTACAGAAGCTATAAAAGGTCAGACCACCTTGAATACATTAGTCAGTTCGATCAGGGGGCAAAAGCCGAGCGAAGTGCAGCGGGATGTCTTCCACATGGTCAAGATACTCTGATGCTCAAACCAGTGCATTGGTTCCTCGAATATACCACCAATTGCAGCAATGGCTTCTATTCTGCAAGAACCCCAACAAGATGTTCCATTTGCTGCTGAGCCTGATAAGCTGCTAATTGAGGTTTTGTTTGTTTATTACAGATCTTTATCGCCGCAATGTCCGCTTGTCTGCCCCTCCAATTTTGGCGAGCGTACGTTTCGCTTCGTTTTACAACGTTTTCGTAATTGCTATTCTTTAATTGTTGTGTAATTGCTTTTATTCCAGCGAAAACAAGGCTAGGCTTGGCTGTCTAGTTCGCCTTTCCCATTGCCTCCGGCTAGCTGTTTCGTTTGGCTGCCGTTCTTGGATATCTTTCGTATTCATATAGTTTTGCCTTTTATGTGAATAACGCTTTGGTTGCCTCGTTGTTTATGCGTTCAATTTTAGCGCGGTTCGATTCGGCTTTTGTTTGCTTTCCGTTCTTATATTTCGCTCGTGTTTTGTTTTGCCAACGAGACACTGGTCTATCGGCCGTTTCATCTTCTAAATTCCGTTGGTTTTTATTTATTTTATTTTACAAGTTTGCCATTGCAATATATCTATATAGAGTACTATGGTTACAAATGACTGGAATTTCCACACAGAGATAGTTCTCCAATAACGGGGTTCCAAAAAAGAACAACTTATTGTATATCTAATTGTTTTAAAATTAAAGCAAACATAACAATTAAACACAAATACAAGGAGACAAAGCAAACGTATTGACGGACAAACGAACAAAAACTAAATTTAGCAACATGTTCGAGTTGATAAGTTCATTAGTGGGCGAGTGGTGTGATATTTAATACACACAGACTTAAATGTTCTTGGATCTTCAGGATCATAAATTTGTTGGGTTAATTCTACGTAATATTTCATTAGATTATATTTAACTGTAGTTAAAGATGTGGTGGTATTTCTTATGAAGCCTGGAAGCGTGTTCCACGCATTAGCAGCTAGCTCTGATGTAAAAGCTGTTTTGAAAAGAAACAGTTTTACTTTTGATTACATGAAGTAGGAGGCCGTTAGTTGAACTAGTATTCCTTGTTTCTCGTGTAGGGATCTTTATACCTATGTTAATGTCAGCGTTATTTATAAGGCATTTGTAAGATACACCATATCTAAATACTCATGCCAGTAACATAGAGGGAGGATTCCGATGGTGGCCAATCGTTTCTTATACGAGATAGATGTTTTGTACGGGAACGATAGAATAAATTTTGATGCCCGTCGCTGCAACCGGTCGATCGTTAGGATGTTGTTGACAGTTTGGGGTGCCCACACTTGGCTACTGTAAGCTAGCTGGCTTCGAACGATAGTCGAGTACAGTATCTTTCGAACTCCTTTATCATGAATGTCGGACGCTGTTCTCTTGACAAAACCCAGCATTTTGTTAGCTTTTGAGGATAAGTCCTGCACGTGCCGGTTCCACTTCAGATTTTGGGTGATACTATAAAGGTTTGACTGGGATGTCATTTTTCTTTTGATATTAAATTGCCTGCAATAATGCTTGTTGTTTTTTTGCTGCATGCATAGTATTTCTTTTATTTTCCCGTATCGTGCGGTGTTTGTTATTAATGTTTGGCGTTTTTCTGCCGTTTGAACAGGTATATTTGTTCATACGTTTATATTTGTTCATAATTCATATATGACCGTCGGTCCCGACGTTTTCTTTGTTTTTCGCCTAACTAGTACATGATCAATTTGTGCTTTTAGCATATTACTTATATAATGTTTGGCGTTTTTGCACCGGTATATTTGTTCATACGTTTATATTTGTTCATAATTCATATAAGACCGTCGGTCCAGGAGTTTTCATTGTTTTGTCGCCTTCCTTTTACATGATCAATTTGTCTTTTTGCATAATATCACTTGTACAGTACAGTAATTATATTTGTGTTCTGAACTCGCGTTTGGTTGACACTTTAATGGGCCCATTGGTCCGGGTAAACATATGCGTTTTTCTTCTAGCCTGCGAACAGGCTCACTGGGAGAAAGGTGAGCCTGCACGGAACCATGCGTTTTATTCAATCATCCCCTTTTCGCATCTGCTAAACGTTAACCAATCAGCGTCGACTGCGATAAATAAACTGTCAACTGTCAACTGTCAAATTGACGCAAGGCGTGTACATTGTGCAACATGAACAATAATACAAAGCATTAGCGGGCCGCGCAATATATTACTCGGAAAAATATAGAATTCTTCAAATATTAAATAGATATCAATACACATACAAATATAACGCCGAATAAACTACCATTGGCTTTGAATGTACAGTAATACTTGTACTATGTGCGACTGAAAGAACAATGTTCTGAATATTTTGAAGCTATTACTAAAATACGGTCAGATAGATTGGGATTTGGATTTTGGAATACCGAGTAAATAGTACAACGTTTAATGTACGATATATATTTATCTAAATGACATGCCAGCGAGGATCAACAATATAATTATTCGTACATATTTTCTTATATTTGGGTATCTTTTGTATGCCTTCGCTTGCTGACTTGCTCACTAATGAGATAATCCGTGAAGCCACGACGACCTCAAAATGTACTATACTATAGTCTGATGTCAATCCGAAGACGAAGTTCAGAATACTGTTATAGTTTCGTATATTGGATTTAAGCGATAGATTCAAGTCATTTATGATAGAATTGTTTGCTGTGATGCTTTGCTATTGCTTTTGGTTTCCATTTCTAGTTTTATTTGTTCGATAGTCCTATAATATATAATATTAAAATGAACAAAGTTCAAATTCTTCAAAATGCTGTTGTTGACATTTGCTATTTTTAGTAATTTTGTCAACGAGTATAAGCCAATCAGAAGCCTGCGTTTCTATACGAACGCCACTACCAAGAAAACCTATAGTTCCGTGCAGGCCCTCTATTCTTCGCGCCGCCCGCAACCCAGGGCCTGTTCGCAGGCTATTTTTCTTCGTGTGCACTTAAGGCCGTTGTATTGCTTTTTTCTGTTTAATTTGTCTATATATGCATGTTTCATGCTTTGTTTTTCTTCTTTGTCTGTATTGAATTCAGAAGGTGTTGTCCTTCTATTTGTTCGTTCGTTTTTATTTAGTTTTAAGTTGTTCGTTTCAATCTGTTTACACCTTCGCTCAGCATGACAATCGGCTTAGCCTTAGGGGGAGCCTTTAGTTTTTCCCATGGCGGTCCTTGCAGGAATTCCTCAGTGACTCTCTCGGATTACTGGGCGACAGGGCCGCCATCCCCGGGGTTTGACATAACGTCTGTTTTTCTTTATCGCGTGTACGTCTTGTACGCGTGTTTCTCTGGGGATGGGGTCCACCCTTAGGTATACGGGTACCTGTTATCGTTAGTTTCATTTTTTATGTCATGCTCGTACATTTTGTTTGCTTTTCGATATTGCCATGCTGCTGTTTTCTCCGACTAGCCACGATGCTATTATATTGTCTCAATTGCTTGTTATGAGCATAGATATCTTTATATACACCAGATAGTGCATCTAATTATTATACAATTCAAAAATTGAAGCCGTGATTGCAGACTCGAGGTATTCCCATGAAAAGAGAAGATTCGTATGTTTTCTATTTCTTAAACACGGAATTGAGGTAAACCTATTCCAAATACATTTTTAATTAAACTATTCAAATGATGAAAGTTATGTTGTTTTTTAAGCGTTTATTAGCGATTGGGAAACACCAACAAGGCCGCCATCTATACACGCCGGGTCAGCTCTTCCCAAAAATCGGCCATTTGATATAAACTTTTTCAATATATTTCGGATGGACATGAAACTTGCTACATCAATATAACTTTCCATTCCGAACAATCGTATGTTTTTTATTTTTGAGATTTAACGGTTTTTGGCGGGAAAATGACGTCACGAAACCTCCAGTTAAAATTTATTTTCAATATCTTAAAAGTTTTGTCGCAGAATTTGGAAGAACATATCATGAGCAGTTCAAAACTGAAAACGGATT